TACAAACCTTATAGAGTCGTCGTTTGCCAATGGCTGAACTGAATTTGTGCTTTACCATCTGCATGAAGCACGACTTGCAGTAGGCTGCCTTCCGCGCATCCGTGCTGCACAGTGTAGCTGGATTTGGACATTTCACACAGACCCGCTCCTCAGACATTTTCCAAAATGCTGAAATTAACACATCCCCAGTGATGCCCCCCAAGCAGACAGCTTCGGGGACATAAGGCCAAGCAAGGAGAGAGAGAGGAGTAGCCAGGATGTGAACAGAAAATTCATCAAAAGAAACGCGCAAGAAAAGACAGCACGCTGCGTTAATGGAGTGAGCAAATGAACTAAGCGAAGATGAATTTCGCGCTAAAAATGCTGAGCATGAGCAGTGGCTCGCAACTTTCCCACTCGTCCTTATTACCCTTTTTTGCTGCAACAGTTGCACAAAATGTATATCAACGAGACCTTCTGTATGTGTGTGTGTGTGTATGCATTTTAGCCAGCCTTATCAAACTGGGAATCCGGAAAGCTAGCTATGAAGGTGAAATTTTAAGAGAATGTTCTCGACCAGTGTCTGATGCAGCAAACTTAAATTCAGCTACCACATACACCTAGGTCACATGTACGTAGAGGATTTTTGGCGCGAAAATCACTAACTCGAGAATCAGAAAAGCTTGGAAACTGAAATTTTAACACAATATTCCAAGCCCATCTGCAGTGCCAAAATTTCAAATCCAACTTCCACATACGCTCAAGTTTCATTTACGGGGACACAGGAGTTTCTGAACAGAACTTTGCTTCAGGGACAGGCAAATTGGAAAGCTCAAAATATATTGTGATGCTTCCTCTCAACGTACAATCTAATGGCAATTCAAATCCAGCTCTCATATGCGCTTATTTGACAAGTGTGAGCAAATAAGACTGTACGCGGGGAATTTTTCGTTCGGGGAACAGATAAAACACAAAACTACTGCTATTGAGAGGATGTCTCCTGTGTAAACGCTATCCTCCTCACCAGCGCCCACACACACACCCACACCCACACACGCACCCACACACGCACACACACACGCACACACACACAC